AGTTCCAAGCCAACTAGGACTACATAGTAAGACCAACCCTGTCTTGAAAAACCAAAAAAAAAAAAAAAAAAAAAAAAAAAAGCTTTAGTAGGGGCTGGTGAGATGCCCCGGTGGATAAATGCATATGCTGGGTAAGCCTGACAACCTGGGTTCAATTCCCACGACCCAAGGAGAGGTAGAAAGAAAGAACCAAGTCCACGAAGTTGTCCTCTGGCCCTTACATGTGCCCTGTGTTACAAACACCCCCACACATATTATGCACACACACAATAATCATAAAAAATTCAATCAACCAATCAATTGAATTAAAAAATTCAGAAGTCGGGCATGAAGGCGCACACTTGCAATACCACCTGCTTGGGAGGCTGAGGCAAGAGGATTGCCACATTCAAGGCCAGACTGGGCATCTCAGCAAGATCCTGTTTCAAAATGAAATACAGAGAAATGAGGAAGGTCTAGAGATGTTAGCTAAGTGATAAGAGTGCTTACTTACCAGGAAGAAGGCCTTGAGTTTAACTCTCAGGATAGGGAAAAAAAAAAACCTTTTCACGGGTCTTAGGAGGCTGGGGCGATGACTCAGTGGATAATCCTACTTCAAACAGTGGGGATGGGACCCACGAGTTGGCTCAGCAGGTAAAGCCCTTGCTTCGAAAGCCTGATAACCTCATTGGTTACTCCCTAATTGGTTATTGATCGTTGGGCTCAATTCCCCAACCCAAGTAAAGGCGGAAAGAGAGAACCCAATCCATAATATTGTCCTCTGACCTCCACACATGTGGAGGTAGCACGTGTGTGCTCACACATGTGTGCTCACACATGTGTATCACACATGCACACACACATATGCACACACACACACACACACACACATGCACACATACCACAGCAGTAATAGCTCTTGTCATGTATCTTAAGTGTAATCTGAGTTCAAATAGGAAGGTAAATCAGAGAAAGTGGAGAAGAAGAAGGAAGAGGAGGAGGAAGATGAAAGGGGCGTCACTGGGCGGGGCTCCAGCTCAGTGGCAAAGTGCTTGCCCGGCTTATGGGGGGCCCTGGTGTTCAACCTATAGTGCCGTCACTACCGCCACGGCAAAAACCATAAAACCAAAAACCAAACCCAAACAGAAAAAATCTTATTACTCTTACTGATTAAAGCTTCTTGAACCACATGAACCCAATGTACAACCACAACCGTTTTTAAAAAATTAGTTCTCCTGAAGAACAACTGGGAGTTGGGTGTGATGGTGCATGCCTTTGGTCCTAGTACTCCGGCAGCAGAAGCAGGAGGATTACTTCGAGTGAGTTCCAGGCCAGCTTAGCCTGCATAACAAAAGCAAAATTCAGAAAGAAAGAAAGAAAGAAAGAAAAAGAGAAAGAAAGACAGAGAAAAGAAAAGAAATGAAGGAGGGAGGGAGAGAAGGAAGGAAGGACAGACGAACGGATAAGTGGGAGGTGACTACCAACTCAGATGTCAGATAGACTTGTGTAGGGTCAATTTGTTTCATGGTTGGTGTCAATAATAGAAAGGATAAGAATTGGATCTCAGGTTACTTTAGTATTGAGCCAGCCTGCCTCCATCTTGGGCTAAAGCTGTAGCAGGAATCTTAAGAGAGTCTTATTAATAAAATCAAACCTGTGAACCAGGTATTGGGGTGAAGCTGGAAGATCAGAGATACAGAACAAGCCACAGCTACCTCACCTCGCCGGATCCTCAGCTGGTCCTGTTTCCTCAGACTGGAGGCCTCTGAGTCCTCATCCAGAATGAATCTCAGCTGAACTGCTGCTTGAAAGCCTGAAGCTTAAAGTAGCTGAAAGCTTAATCAGCCAAATGCTTCTAGTTTCTGGTCCTCACACCTTATATACCTTTCTGCTTTCTACCATCACTCCCTGGGATTAAAGGCGTGAGTCACCTGCTTGGCTGTATCCTTGAACACATGAATTTCTGCCTCTGGAATGCTAGGATTAAAGGCGTGTGCTACCACTGCCTATCTTAAGTAGCTTTTCTGTTCTCTGACCCCAGATAAGTTTATTAAGGTACACAGTATTTTGGGGAACACAGTACTACCACAGGCTTGAAAGCCATCTTATAGCCAAGACAAACTAGCTTCATTCCTGTTTATGACTAAATCTCTGTTTCTCAAATAGTGGGCTATGCACACCTGTGACCTTACCTACAAATGGTTCTGTGCTGCCTGTTCCAGGAAACGGCAACTGTGCCTTTGTTTAAAAACATTGTTATCATCACCTTGCAACCCTACCTTTGTTTCAGGAGGTTGTTATGACTACTGTTGTTATGACCACCTTGTTACGTTCTGTGTCGGTAATCCTGCCTATACGCCTGCCAAATCCCCCAACTGGAAACCCCCTACCCCGAGCTATAAAACCCTTATCCTCCCCATGTCCAATGCTGACCTCTTGAACACCTTAGAGGGAAGCAGCTCATGCACATGAATAAAAAAAAAAAAAGCTTGCTTTAATTGCTTGCTTGAATTAATTTGGCCATGATGATTTGGGTCAGTGGTTTTTCTCCTTGAATCTTTGGGATTAACATTGGAAGCCGAGACTGAGACCTGATAACACAATTTATTATGGGTAAGCAAATTTGAAAGAGACAACAAGAAAGGGGGTGGGTCTTATCTTCTCCCCTAATTATTAATTGAAATCCTCCTATTTGGGAAAGGTAGTGGAAAGAAACATGGGATTACTGTTCCTTACAGTCATGTAAGAGCCAGGTAGGGAAGCCATGAGGGAGAAGAGGTGGCTTGCTATAACACCAATGGATGAATCATTGCTGTTATGATGTAAATGCTTATCTTCCCCCTCCATCCATATGTTCGAATCCTCACACACACCACAGAATAGTGACTGACACTAGGAGCCATGTCTTTGGGAGGTGACTGGATGATGTAGGCAAAGCCTTCGTAAATAAGATTGGTATCCTTATGAAGCAGGCCAAGAGACATCCCCTCACTTGGGAAACTGGGAAGACAGCTACTTATGAGGCAGTGGGTCCTCTGATATGTGAATCTGCTGATGCCTTGATCTCAGACTTTCCAGCTTTCAGAACTATCAGAAATAAGTTTCTGCAACCAAAGCCATCCAACCACCAGACCCCAGGGGGTGGCATTTGTAACAGCAGCCCCAACATGCTGAGACAATTGTAATATTTTAGAAACTTTTTATGTTATGGCTATGTTTTTAGTACATGTAAGATAGATTTTTATGACATACTAAAAATTAAACTTAAGAATTTAGATTATTTCGCATATTTACTTATTTGTCATTTGTGTGTATGGGTGTTTTTCCTTGCATGTCTGTACATCACATGCACGCAATGCCCATGGAGGTCAGAAGAGCCCTAGAACTGGTTATAAATGGTTGTGAGCCACTGTGTAGGAATCAAACCTGGGCCCCAGGTTCAATTCCCAGTACCAGACCAAGACAGGAGGGAAGGAGGAGGGAGGAATAGAAACTCCATGTTGGCCAGATCCTCGGGTTTTTTTTTTTTGACATTGTGGCTGAATTTACCCCGTCCTCCTCTCCCCCTCCACCCCTCTTGATTCCTCCCTCCCTCCTCTCCTCCCTTTCTCTTTAACAGGTCTCTTTTTTCTGTGATGTGAATGGCATTGAATCATAGATCAGAATTGACTGACTGGCTTGCTGCGTCATAAAGGAGTTGAACTCCCAGACAAAAGCTAAACAGATCTTAGTTCTAATCCTGCCCCTGCCACTGGCTACATTTCTCTCCTGCAGCCGTTAACTGTCTAGGAGGGGCAGGACCTCACAAGGCCCCTCCCCTTTCTACGGCGGAATGTTAATAGGCCCTGTCTTGTTCCAGTCTTGTGCAGGTAATTGCATCAGCTAAGAGTTCAAGAGTTCGACTGCATTCCACAGCACTCCACCTCTGGCTCTTAAATTCTTTCCACACCCTCTTCTTCAGTGTTTCCTAGGTCTTGGGGAGGGTAATATAGATGTTCTCTCTATGGATGAGCATTTCCTAGTCACTTATTCTCAGCTCTGACTATTTACATTCTCTTTGGTAACCCCTGCCCACTACAAAAAGAAGCTTCTCTGACCAAAGCCGATAGCAGTACTAGTCTCTCTCTGTCTCTCTGTTTCTCTCTCTCTCTCTCTCTCTCTCTCTCTCTCTCTCTCTCTCTCTCTCTCTCTCTC